ATGTTGCTTTGGAAAGGAGGCTCTGCTTTTGTTTCCACAGGAAGCAAGAGGCTATGGCTTTGTTCCAGGTTAAGATACATCAGGTTTAACCAGCCAAGACCCCCTGAAAGGTCTCTGATGACACCATGGCCCAGATCATCCAACGTCCAAAATCAACTTCAAGGCAACTGGCTCAGAGAATGCAGTCTCACAGACTACTCTAGTCAAGATTTGATCATAATCCTTAATTTTCTCAGGATCCCCATAAGATTGCCAGTGCTCTTATCCAGCAGGAAGTAATATGAGAAGTTATGCCCAAATTCCCAAAATATTGTTTATAAATGTCTATTTTTATTTAAAGAGGGTTGATTATAAATACAAGCTCTTTTTTTTTTGGGGGGTTTTCGAGACAGGGTTTCTCAGTGTAGTTTTGTGCCTTCCTAGAACTCACTTTGTAGACCAGGCTGGCCTCAAACTCACAGAGATCCACCTGGCTCTGCCTCCCAAGTGCTGGGATTAAAGGCGTGCACCACCACCGCCCAGCCAATACAAGCTCTTTCTAAAGAAGAAAAAGGGACAGTATACATATGATAGGATGAAAGGGTGGATTAATGGACCTACTTTTAAAGAGTAACAACTTGTTTGAAATGTTTTACATTGCTATGGATTTTAGTTTATTGATATAAATTTACATTTGATTTTGTTATGCTATATATATATTTCTATTCTTGTTTAAGGTATTATGTTTGTGTACCTCATTTGAAATTATAGTGGATAATTAAGAAATACAGAGTAATAATTAGTTTTCTATGATAGTCAAACTTATAGTCATTTTAAGTTTTCTAGGTATACATAGATGTAATTCAATTAGGTTAGGAAATCTTCAAACACTTCAAAGACCTACAGAATATGACATTTAAAATGTTTTAAAAACAGACTTTTCTGGACAATGAGACATGTCTGCTCCTGGCAGCACTGATTTACTTCAGAGAGAAGATGGGCATCGAAGATACTCCATATGGAGTTTATCTTCTTCTTGGCAAAAATAGCCATTTGGGGAAGAAACTGTTCTTGCCTGGACTGATTGACAAAATGTTATATTGACTGGACATTCAGGACCCATAGGAAGGTGACCACTGAACTTTGCAAGACGAGATGGTCCTTTAGGTTCCCAGAAGAAACTGCTAGACAGTCTACAGGACACAGAGAAGTGACTGAAAGACTCTAGGCCTGTAGGCTAAAGAATGGATTCCCCAACATAGCAGAAGAACTTTGGATAACTGTCCACATAGCCAACTGTCTTTGTCATTCTAGAATTTTGGAGGTTGCTTACAATGCTCTTTCTGTTTACTTAGGTAATATTATATTCTTCTGGGGTCTTTGATGTAGTTGAAGACTAGATAGTTATAATTTTTCTTGGTTATGATAAAAGATAAATTAGATAATAAAACTTTAGACTCACAAATATAGGATAGAATATTTTCTTTAATTTTGCCAAATACAAATAGACAAGATATTGTGACTGTGATTCTTTTTTTTTTTTTTTTTTTTTTTTTTGGTTTTTCGAGACAGGGTGTCTCTGTGTAGCTTTGGAGCCTATCCTGGAACTCACTCTGTTAGCCCAAGCTGGCCTCGAACTCACAGAGATCCACCTGCCTCTGCTTCCCGAGTGCTGGGATTAAAGGTGCACGCTGCCACCACTCGAGTGACTTTAATTCTTTTTTTTTTTTTTTTTGGTTTTTTCGAGACAGGGTTTCTCTGTGTAGCTTTGCGCCTTTCCTGGAACTTTGGAGACCAGGCTGGCCTCGAACTCACAGAGATCCACCTGGCTCTGCCTCCCGAGTGCTGGGATTAAAGGCGTGCGCCACCACCGCCCGGCGACTTTAATTCTTATTGGCTCCTGAAATTCTTTTCTTTGTGAAATCAAAACTCCTAGTTTCACCTAAGTAGAGGTCTCTGAGAAGAAGTCTTCAGGCTGCTGCAGAAGACAGCCTTCAACTGCGTCTTTGGCCTTTGCCTCTGTTGACACTATACATCTGTAGCTGGAAGTTTTCCTGTATCCTGCCTGGTCCCAAGGTCCTGCAGCTGCTTATAAAATAATCACTCAGAGGCTTATATTAACTACAAACTGTATGGCCAATGGCTTAAGTTTCTCTCTAGCTAGCTCTTTCATCTTAAATTAACCCATTTCTATTAATCTATGTTTTGCCACATAGTTGTGGCGTTACCAGTCTGCTAGCATATTGCTCCTTGGGCATTGGGCTGGTGTCTCTCCCACCTCTGCTTTCTTCTCTCTGTATATCTGCTTGGATTTCCCGCCTGCCTCTAAGCTGCCTTTCCATAGGCCAATGCAGTTTTATTTATTAACCAATCAGAGCAACACATTCACAGCATGCAGAAAGACATTCCACAGCATAAGTATGTATTTATTTATACATGTGCAGGCCTGCATATACACACGTCTATGATCTATCACTCCTCTTTACATGAGGTAGCATTCCAAACACATGATGTTGTACACTCAACTTACTCATCTGGTAAGCTTTTACCATGTGCCGGGCACTGTTCCCAGCAATAAGACAGCAAACACTAAGGAACAATGTGCTTGTCCTTAAAGGAGTGTATGCTCTAGTGAAAAGAAACAAGTAATAAACAAATGTATAGTAGAACCATCAGATGCTGGATGAGAGCAGTGAAGAAGTGAGAAGAATATAGCAGAGTTTGTGAGGAATATACGAATTTAATCAGGTAGGTCTTTTTGGTCATGGGACATAGAGGTACAAAGTGAGGAAACAAACCCTAGGGATATCTGGAGACGAGTATCTGGATAAAGAGCAATGGAAGTAAAGGCCTTGAGACAGAAGCCTGCTGGGCTTAAAAAGCACAAAGTCAAGTGCTGAGGACAAATCAGCCATAGAGTGTTTGCCTAGCATGTGCAAAGTTCTGGGTTTGATCAGCATGGCAAAAATAAAAGAAAGGCTGGGAATGAGGCTGGGTGTGGCGGCATAGGCCTAGCTCTGGAGGCAGAGGCAGGCAGATCTCTGTCAGTTTCAGGACAGCATGGTCTACATATAGAGTTCCAGAACATCGAGGGCTATATAAAGACCCTGTTCCCCCATTGCCCCACCCAAAAAAGGTAGAAGGAAGAACAGGACTAGTGGAGAGACCAGGAGATCTTATTACAACCATAGCTTAAAGACAGGCAGGTCTACATGTAAACTGTGTCGACAGCTGTAGCTACTTTGGATCCTATTATTTTAGGCGGGGTTTGGACTTTTGAGGCAGGATTTCACACTAGCCCAGGCAGTAGTGGAACTCTCTCTTCAGCCTAAGCTTGTCCTGCACTCTCAGTGATCCTCCTACTCTAGCCTCTGAAGTGTTGGGAATACAGGTGTGAGCCACCATACCTAGTTTGACTCTTAATTCTTTTTATGGATGCACCTATTTTATGGATGTACCACCATTTATTTGTTTGTTCAATATCCTAGCAATGTACATTTAGTCTCAACTCTTGCTTTTAAAAACAAAAAACCAAACCAAAACAAACAAACAAAAAAAAACAATGGAGTTTGTGGCAGCCAGTTCTAACCTGATGGCACTGTGTTATTGCTTGCCAAGAAGAAATCACTCCATCCCAGTCATTAATGACTCTTCTTTCCGGTTTCCTTGGGTGGTCTGGTTTGTGTGACAATTTATACAGGACTCCCCTGTGGTGGCTAAGGGACTTAACCCAGTACCAGGCACCCCCTAATATCTGTTGATCTTTGTCCTGAAATGACTGTGAGACCCTAGTGCCTGCAGGTGTTGGCCATGTGAGATAAGAAAATGGCGTTACTGTTGTGTATAATGGGGATGAGAAACAACTGAATGGAGTGAAGCAATTTTATCACTCAGCTGTGTATTCCACGGAGCACGAGGTAACTGTGATGCCCACCTCTGGGGTCCACCTCGCTAAACCCTTCCTTTAGCCCCCTCCGTCACTACAGGCTCCTGACTTGGCTCTAAGGCTGTTTGTTGTCCTTCTGCGAGCAGTAAGAATAAATTTGTTTACTCTGAGTTCAGACTGAGTCTAAGTCTTTTGTTTTTTCCCAGTGGATTGGAACCCCACAACAGGAGCATCTTTTGTGCGTAGGGTCCTGTATATTTGCAGGATTTTTCCAGGAAGTGTAATTGCTGACTACGAGCTTTTTATTTCCCATGCTGAAAGCAATTCTGATCAAATTCTCATTCCCCAAAACCAATTTTATTCACTGTTTGCCACACCTCTTCCTTCCAGAGATTATAACAGAGAATTGTCACTTCACATCAATCTTCTACTCTTTATTTCCAGTCAAGGGGCTGGGCTTGTAGCTCGGTGGTAGAGCACTTGCCAAGCAAGCAAACTAGGTTCTACTTCTTCCACCACCAAAAAAGTTGGGAGGTAGAGGCAGAGTTCAAGATCATTTTCAGGTATATACTGAGTTGAAGGCTAGCCTGGGATACATGAACTCTTGTCTCAAAAAAGAAAAAAGATAGCAAGGTAAGAAAGGAAAGGAAGAAAAAAAATAGAAACCCAAACCAACTAACCAAAGACAAACTAAAAAAAAAAAAAAATCCATTTATTACCAACCTAGCAGCCTTGGGCCATAGGGCCCCTCTACATACGGTCGCCTTTCGCGAGCCGAAGATGAACTGAGACACAGGCAGCATCCGAGGTACACTCCCTCCCTTAGAGCCTCGCTGTTCCCCACGTCCATCTTCCCTCTCTGGGGCGCGAAGGCTCCCAGCCTCGCGACAGCTTTCCCTCCTCCACCCACGCCTCGCTGTTGCCGAGCGCCTCCTCCTCCCGTCCTCTCCCCGCCCACAGCTGCGTCCCTTCCCGGCCGCCGTAGCGCGAGCGACGCGGGAGTTCGGCAGCCGCGTCGCCTAGGCAACGGCTCGGCGGCGGGCAGCGGGCGCCAGGCGGCCCCGGGGAGGCGCTCGCGCCGGCGGCCCGGGCTCCGCGAGGGCGACGAGGCGGCAGGTAAGCGGCGGCAGAGCGGGCGGGCGCGGCTCGGAGAGGAGCGGTCCGCCAGGCGGCCGGCGAGGGACGGGCCGCGAGGACGCCGGGCAAGGACGGAGGGCTGGACTTGGTCCCCCGGGCCCGGGAGCGGGCGCCTGCGACGCCCTCTGACCCCGGCCGGGTTCGCCGGGTTCGGGTGGGTGCGCTTTCGGCTTTTATTCTGACGCATCTCTTGAGGCTCATGGGAAAGTTTTCTTTTTTAAATAACAATTTTTTTAAAAGCTCCTTTTCCGTGAGGGTTGGTCGTCGAGTAACTAGGAACTGACGAGAACGTATGCGTGTGCCGCTCTTCGGGGGACCGTCGGGGTTGGACTTATTCCTGTGTCAGTTTTCTCACCTGCACAATGGGGTTATAATGGTAACAACACCTGTCTTGTAAGATGGTCGCAAGTGCCTTTTATGTAAAATCCTCGATACGTGGGAGCTTTCCTTGACGCTCTTGCTACGAGGAACATCATTGAGGATTTATTGAGAACAAGGGCCCGGGCTGATCGCCAGCCGTTAAAAAAAAAAAAAAAAAGTGAATGAGACATCTTGTCCTTAGGGAACTCCACTCCTGTCCGTAGGAAACAGACCTATGAACAGGAATTCGGTGTAATTTGAACTGTGGTTTTGCACGTACAGGAAACTGAACGCCGAGAGGGCAGTTGTAGACCTTCAGAGGTGAGAGCGGTGGTCCTAGGGGATTACACAAGAAGGTTACTTCCTAAAGGAGAGATGAAGCTTGCCGGTGTGTTGGCCAGGAGACGAGGCTGGTGACATGCCCAGTGTTAGGAAGACAGAGCCCTGAGGAGACAGCCTGACTTGTAGAGAATCTCTCAAGAATTTCAGGCCGGAAGAGAATCTGAAAGGTAGAACTAGTCTCTACTTGATGTTTGAGAGACAAGACTCTGCTCTTCCTGACAGACTTTTTTTGGGGTGGGGTGGTGGTGGTAAAGGAAGTTAGGATTTTATTTTTGGGGCCTTCAGGAGATTGCTTGTTTTATACAGGGTCTTATGGTCTCCAGGCTGGCCTTGATGCTGCTCTGTAGCTGAGGCTAGCCTTGAACTTGTGTCTCCATCCCCAGAGTTCTAGGATACAGGTATGAGCTGGCAGAGGATTCTAATCAGTAGGTGAGTGTGCTTGATCCCTCACCCTCTTTGGTCTCATCACTCTTATTTTTGTATGATTTTTTGAGACAGGGTCTTACTGCATAGTTCTGACTGTCCTGGATCTCGCTCTGTAGACCAGGCTGTCCTCAAACTCAGAGACCCGCCTGCCTCTGCTCCTGAGTGCTGGGATTAAAGGCATGCGCCTGGCGGTCTCATCACTCTTATTTTTCCCTTTGCAGCCATTTATTTATGGTGATTCAAAAACCAGATACAGAATATTGTCATAGACCTTTTTCTTTTTCTTTTTTTTCAGAGCTGAGGACCGAACCCAGGGCCTTGCGCTTGCTAGGCAAGCACTCTACCATTGAGCTAAATCCCCAACCCCATCATAGACCTTTTTCATTATTGAAATTAAATACCCGAGACTGGGTAGCTTTTCTGACCATGGCCTTTTTATAGCAAAGTCCTGAGATGGCTCAGAGTGTTGCTTATTACAAGATGGGGAGTTTGAGGAGTCCCCTTTTTGTGGTGCTGGAGGTCGAAGAGACAGATCTTGCCTATATGAAGCAGGTGTTCTGCCTTTGAGCTGCATCCTTGACCTTCTCGCACAGAGTCCTAGTACTCAGTCACAAGAACCTAATGACCTTATCTAATAATGTTGATTCCCCCCCAAAGGTCCCACCTCTAGACACTGTATTCAGACAGTCTCCAATCTCCTCACCTGCCACCTCACAGTGGAGGTGAAATTTCAACACATGAACCCTTGGGAGATACATGCAAACCACAGCAAGTATGAGGTGCCCAGCACTGTGTGGTACTATGAGGAGAAAGCTGATCCTTATCGTGGCGATGAGAACTTGGGTAGGAAGCGATGCCTCTGACTAGTGACTGTGTGATGTATTAATGGAGTCCTCTGGGCAGGTGAATACAGTCTAGTTTGGAGGTTTGGGGAGGGAGTAGTGTGAGTTAGCACTGTCTGGAGAGCTGGTAAGAATGATAAAGGGACAATATTCCAAACACATTCAAAAGCAATGTTACAGAGCCCTGCGTGGTGGCACTTGCCTGTTTTCCCAGCACTTGGGAGGTGGAGGCAGGAGGACCAAGAGTTTAACTGGCTACATGCAAGTTCAAGGCTAGGCTGGGCAAAGTGAAACCTTGTTTTAACATATACATATTCACACACAGGTTCATTAGTTTGTTTATTTTGAGACAAGGTCTCACTGTGTAATTAACCCTGTTTGGCCTGGAACTTGTTTTATAGGCCAAGCTGGCCTAAAACCCACCGAGATTCATCTGCCTCTGCCTCTGCCACCAGGGTAGTAGGATTAAAGGCGGGCCACCACACCTGGTGTTGTTAGTTTATTTATGGTAGTGAAAGCTGTTCGCTACAACTGGAGGTGGAATATCAATACTGAGCAGTTGTGGTGCCTCCCACCTGTAATCCTAGCACTCAGGAGGCTGAAGCAGGAGGATCAGGAAGGAGATTTAAAAAGGGCCCAGATCTGAGGGTTGCTGCTTTGCACACTCTTGGAAGAACTGTTCACTTAGGTGACACCAAGAAGAAAGGGCTCTGGAAGAGGAAACCAAGAGTGTGGTAATGAAGGCCCAAGGCAGAGGTCAGCTTTGCTAGATGCCACCGAGTAGCAAGTAGGAGAAGTTAGGGTTAGAATGTGCCGACTGAGTAAATAAGTTCCAGGGGTCACTGGGGACCTGACTGAGCAGATGTGGTGAGTGGCGGGGGCGGAATCTATAATGTCCCAGCTTCCAAAGGTTTGGTGTAATGTATCAGTAGGATGAGGTGAGAGTGGGATGTGAGAAGACAGTGTAGGCAGCTCCGAGAAGGCTGGCTGTGGAGGGAGGGGAGAGGCTGGGGAGCGATCGAGGAGTAAGGGAAGGTTTTTTTTTTCCTTTTTCAATAAAGCATGGGAGAGCGCTTCAATGCAGTTGGCATAGAGCTGGTGGGAGGGAAAGGCTGAGAAGACATGGGAGCGGAAGGAGAAACCGATAGCACAACTTTCTCTGGAAGGTAGGAGTGGCTGGGCTCGGAGCAGGTTAGTGCCAGCAGACTGCCCAGGTGGAAGGCAGCAAGCTCAGACAAAGGTGTGTGTTAGTGTGGAGAGCCAGCCGGCTCTCGTTGTTGGCAGATTGCGGGCCTTTTCGAGCCAGTATCATGCTAAGCACTTCTCTGAGTATATTAAGTGCTACTCTCAATATAACCTGCTCTTTTGGTGGGGTGGGTTGCTGCGGTTGAGGGCCTTGAGTGTTCTAGGCAAGCAGTCTACAATCCTTCAGTAAAACAGCCTTTTTTTTTTTTTTTTTTGAGACAAGGTTTCTCTTTGTAGCTTTGGAGCCTACTCTGGAACTCACTCTGTAGACCAGGCTTGCCTTGAACTCACAGAGATCTGCCTGACTTTGCCTCCCCAGTGCTGGGATTAAAGGAGTGCGCCACCATGCCTGGTTATAAACACCTTGTGAGACAGGCCCTGTTATGATCTCCAGTTTATGGATGAAAACTATGGTTAAATGCTTACCTGAAATCTCATTATACTTGGGTTCTGTGTTTCAGTTTGCTGGGCTTTTAATCTGTGTGTGTGTGCAGGTGTGGTGTTCTGATCTATCACTCTTCATCTTTCACTGAACCTAAAGTCAGGCTGGCAGTCAGCCAGCCTCGGGGATTCCCGTTCTCTATCTACCATAGTGCTGGGGTTGCAGGCATACACAGTCTTACCTGCACTTTGTATGTGTATATATGTACCTGAGTGTTTGTATGTGCACCACGTGCATGCAGGAGCCCTGGGAACTGGAGTTGTGAGCCACCCTGTGGTTGCTGGGAATCAAGTCTGGGTCCCTGGTAATAGGTAAATAGTAGCAACTGGTCTTAACCTAGAGCATTTCTCAGCCTACCCCATCTTTTTATGTGGGTGCTGGGGATTCAAACTCAGATCCTCATGCTTGTTCAGCAAGCGCTCTTACTGAGCATCTTCCTAGCCCAGAGCTTTTATTACCTAGGTGGTAGGTCACTACCTAGGTGGTATAATTCTATACCTTCCGTATTATGTGCTGAGAAAATTCAAGAGATAACTTAAAAATACTTAAATATACTAAGATTAACTGAGCAAACAGCTACAAGAGAGAGAACAGGCCACACCCCATTCTCTTTCTCCTTTTCTTTTTTTTTTTTGATGCCAGGAATTGAACCCAGTTCCTCAAGCATGTTAACCACCTGCTCTGCCACTGAGCCACACCTTCACCTCCCAAAGGCAATAGCCTTGTAATAGCAGTGATAATCAGAAATGTAATTGTAGAAGAAATGGCAGTAGCCACATAAAAGACACATACTAAGCAATATACTTAGGCATGCTGTGCCTAACCACATAGGATAAAGTTGGTTGAGAGGTGGGAAGACCAAACGAGAATGGACGGTAGGACAAGGAGGTGGTTTTCCCAGGGAAAATTAAGGGTGTTGGTATCGCAAAGGGGGCAAGTGGAAGCCGGTACCAGTAGTAGGACATCATCAGAAAGTCTGCAGAGATGTTGCCGTGGTGATTTATGATGTCAAAAAGCTGGAAACAGACGTGTGATGGGCAGTTCAGTCATAAAAACAGAACTAGGTGGCAGTTATGCACACTTGAAAGATATCTGCACCGTGTGATTAGGTATAAGAGGCAGACTCTTCACACAGTATGCTTCTAATTTTTTGAGGGAAAAAAAATTTTTTTTTTTTTTCGAGACAGAGTTTCTCTGTGTAGCTTTGGTGCCTTTCCTGGATCTCACTCTGTAGACCAGGCTGGCCTCCAACTCACAGAGATCCGCCTGCCTCTGCCTCCTGAGTGCTGGGATTAAAGGCGTGCACCACCACCGCCACCTGGCTTCAAAAAATATTTTTTTTTTGAGAATAATACATATGTAGGAAAAGTTTCTGGAAATATTAGTTCTTGTTTGTTTATTTGTTTGTGTTTGAGATGGGGTCTCACTATGCCATCTGACTGGCCTGGGACTTGCTATATAGACTAGGCTGGCTTCTGCCAGTTCTGCCTGCCTCTG